TCTTGCTGCTGGAAACACCAGAATTTCCCATTGCTATGTTGATTAGTGATTCAAGCTGACATAATATGGTTAGATATTTGACACATTGTTATTTTACTTGAAGCCAATGGCTTCTAAGGAAAAAGGAAAAAAAGACCTGTTAGAATAAACCTACCTATTAGAATCATTAAGTTGTGACTCTTAAATACCTGAGAAAAAGCTAATTTTTCAGTTTATTCTAAGGGAACAAAAACATAAATTGGTTTTAATTATGTAATCTAAAGAGGTGTTTCCGGTAGCGTTTCTATTAAGGAACTTTTACTTTGTTTGACTTTTGTCAAATGCATTAACGCAATAATGATGTTACCTGTATTAATAATTATCATCATCATTATTATTATTTGTAGCAGTAGGCAAAGACATTCATATAAGTGGTAGGAGTAGTAGTAGCGTTTTATTTTGAAAGGCTACCTATGACGTTCGTCTACATCCGGAGAACGCGCGTACCTTACGTTCAGCCTCCACTGGGGAGATTTGGCGGGCAGTACTTCAGTGTAATTTGGATTTCTTGTTGTGCATGCTTTTAAGTGGGAACCGAAGAATGTTAGAATAACGGTCTAGCAAACTTTTTCCAAGTAAGCAAACTTTTTCCAGCCCTAACGACGGAAAGACGTTACTTCTGAAGGTAAGCTTGGAACGGGGGAGGGACTGTTAGCCTGTTAGCCTGTTAGCAGTGATGGTGAGATCATCTGAACATGTCACCACCTACTGGTGGAGGGCATAACTACAGTTTGTAATAAAATCTGTGACTTTTTTTCCCCAATTGTTTTTCTTTTTTTACTGTTTCATTTCGTTTGAAATAGTTAATGATCGGTGTGTATATTAAAATGTTCTGTAAGTTTTTTTGTGTGTAAAATGTCTTAGAAGAGAACAATCATTTAAGATACAACATTTTTTTTGCCATTTTAGTGAAATAAGCTCAAGCAGACAGTGAAAGTGCTTGTGGAAATTGGGCAATGATGAGCAACGTGTTGGTCATTTTTATTCAAACATAAATCTTTCTATTGTTTTTGGTTTTAATCGGGTTGGAAATGATGTGTTCAACCAATCTTTTAGTTAAACCAACTAATTTAATTTGGTTGTGTTTTTACCCAGTCTATATTTTTACTATGGCAAAGCAATACAAATTAGTCACATTAGCCAAAATACTTGTTATAGTATATAAGTATATACGCAACTTTCAAAAGTCTAAACATCAACCTCAGGAGTGGAAGTCAATGTCTTACAGATGATGCCATTAACTCCCCAGACAACAATAATTTTTATGACTTAAGTTACAACTGTATCCAGCGGTTTGGTCAGATTTTGATCATTTAATTGTTTGATCTGACTGTAATAGTTTAAACCAGCTAGATTGGTTGGAAAAACAACCAATCTGCTCTTAGAATCTATCCAAACTCTATCCAACTGACAGCAAATCTTCTACAAACTCCCACATATGCTCCCTGTCAAAGTTCTTGTGCTTTTTGAACCACTTCCCGAAGCGGTCACGTGGTATCACGGTAGAGAGCCTTTGGGCTTCATCAGTTTTGGCCCCTCCCCTAAATTAATCAAGCCTTTTCACGTGCTTTGTGTAATATGGAAAGCCATTTGGTTCAATTACTCATTATTTCTAACACAAAAGACAAACCGTCAATAATAATATTTTGCGCGTTGTTAATGTATTGTCTTCGCCTTTCCATCTGTCACACATAGACTATACTCAAATTGACATGAAATCAAGGAGTAGTTGATGTGTATTTGA